AAAAAAAAAAAAAAAACTCATAATAATAAAATACTAAAAAAATAAATTCTGAAACATATAGATTGGTAAATGAACCAATAAATAAGTTTGAGCCCGTTAACGAGCTTGACGATTTAAATTAAGGTATCAGTTTTTATTGTTTATCAGTAATTTTCGAGCTTATAGATTATTATAACTTATAATTTATAGTTCAAATTTAGCTTATATGATAATAATTGGTAAAGTTTGCTGATAAACCAACTGAAATAAAAATTCCAACTAGTTTATTTGAAAACTTACCAAAGAAGTTTATGAGATAAACTTAATTTTTTTAAAAAAAAAACTCGTCTTATCAAACGCAAACGGAACTTATTTTACTACATTAGACTTATAAGCTAACTAAATAAGATATAAGCTAACCAAGCCAAAAACATAGGCTAAGAGTTTGAAAAATGACCCAAAATCCATATTTCATCAAGCTTTAGTGAGCTTGTACTCGTCGAGTTGAGCTCACTGTTTTATTAAACGAGCCTAATTGCTCTTTGGTCCGAACTCCAAAGAAAAAAAAAAAAAGAAAGAAACTCATGTCATCTATTTTCTCTCTCCATAACCCCTCAGCGCTTCTCTCTCTCTCTACACATCATCTACACACTATACATATCTTCTTCCAGACCCTGTAAATTATTCCAAGCAAAAAGAAGAAAAAGGCGGAGATAAAGGGAAAAATCATTTATTTTTCTTTTTTCCTCCATTGATATCCGAGCTCACGATCGCCTACTGTATTTGCTCATCAATGGATGCTATCTGAGCTCACCCATCAGGTACCAAAGCCCATTTTCTATTTCTTCACTTTTTTTTTCGTTTTTTTTTTTAATGATTTCTTTTGATTTGTTAAGAGTTGAAACCCCTAAGCTTTGATCCGTTGAGGGGAGGAATCAAAATCTGATCTTTTCTGGTTTTTTTTGGGTGTTTCGTGACTGACCCTTGTAGAAATTAGAAAGAAAAAGAAAAGGAAAAGATCGAAAAAAAGGAGCTAAAAATCAAGTGCCTCGCGGAGTTTTTCCGATCATGGCAGTGATGGATAATGCTGGAGCAAACGCGGTGCAGCCGTCAAAAACTGACACTCAGCCAAACGGCGTCGCCGCCGCGGATCACGACCAGAAGCAGCCGACAAAAGCCGCCTACGACACCCAAAAGTCAATCGAGCCCGCCGCCGGTCAGGATTTCCCGGTGGCGCAGCAGAAAATCTCCAACGGCCGTCATGGCCAGATCGACGGCAGCGGAGTCGCGGCGGAGGGAAAAACGAACGGCGAGGAAGGGTTGAAGAGGGAGATGAGGGATTTGGAGGAGATGCTCTCGAAGCTAAACCCCATGGCCAAAGAGTTCGTGCCGCCATCCCTTTCCTTCCTTGACGGCGGGCAGCCGAGGTTTCTGGTGGCTCCACCGCACGTCGTGGCCGCAGCGGCGGCGGGGCATTTTGGGTTCACACCGACTGGTTTTCTTTTGCAGCAGCCCATGAGCCCTGGAGCTCAAAACGGAAATTCCTTTAGAAAGGTTTGGTATTTGTCTTTTATTTTTTATTAATTAATAATATAATCTATGCTGGGTCTCTCTCTTCTTTAAAAGTTTGATGATTTTCTGTTTTGTTAAATACAGTCCCTGTTTCGGTTTTTGTAATGGCTTATGTTGTAATCAGTCGAATTTTTTAAGGTCGAGTTCTTAAGACTAAAGCTCTCTTTTTCTGTTTTCAAGCAACTGTGAATCCTATTTGGAATAGCTTCTGTCAGTATCCTTCTCTGTAATGGGTTTTTAGGAGGCTATTTAGTCATGTTTGATGATCTTGTAATGTTGCAGACGAAAAATGGCTATACTCACGGAAAACGGAGGTTGAATAATACTCGAACGAGCAAGGCTCAGAGGGAGGACGTGATCAGGAGGACTGTCTATGTGTCTGACATTGATCATCAGGTAATGAGACTTGAGCTTTAAAAAATTATGTTCAGCTAATTCACATCCATTTAAAGGATTTTTTAACAAAGGGATTAATTTGTAATATTCTTGTGGGTGAGAATAGGTTACCGAAGAGCAACTCGCAGCCCTTTTCATTAACTGTGGACAGGTAACTGTGTGTTAAGTTTTCCCCAAATGGCAGAGGTCCTCAATAAAAACTAATAAAAGATGTCTTTTTTTCCCCATATGTTCAATCATGAAGGTTGTTGACTGCCGAGTTTGTGGTGATCCCAATTCTGTGCTTCGTTTTGCCTTCATTGAATTCACTAATGAGGGTATGCTATTACCTGATCATTTTATTTGCTTCTTGTATTCTTTATCTAAATGCTTACACTGAGGCAATTCACGTTATGTACATTGTTTATTTTCAGAAGGGGCAAGGAATGCTTTAAGCATGAGTGGCACCGTGCTTGGATACTATCCAGTGAGAGTGCTGCCTTCCAAAACTGCAATTGCTCCTGTTAACCCGACTTTCTTGCCAAGAGTGAGATACTTCTATGTGCTTCACTTTTACTCGCAATTCAAGCTCCAACTGTTTCTAATGTGCAGTACTAATTCATTTTCGTTGTGTGCAAAAATTACAGTCTGAGGATGAAAGGGAGATGTGTGCAAGAACTATTTATTGCACAAACATCGACAGAAAGGTAACTTTTAATAATCGTACACTTATTTTCTTGACACATTGTGGGTAAGAATTTATGGTGTCTTGTTCGTTGCATAGGTCACTCTAGCGGATGTTAAGATCTTTTTCGAGTCTCTTTGCGGAGAGGTTTGTAGCTGCTTGTATGAAATCCTTGTATAATCTCTTGGATTTTTTTTTTTTGGTTATATCACATAATCCACTGATTGATTCAGGTTCATCGCTTGAGGTTGCTTGGCGATTATCATCACTCAACGCGTATAGCTTTTGTAGAGTTTGTAATGGTAAAATTCATGGGTTTCATCTTTGATTTGTTTCCACATGAAGAATTTTAGATAAAACTAGTCTTGTACCTGTTAATGTTTTCAAGTTTTGCCAAATTACAGTTGATGGTTGAAAATTTATTTTCTTATAAACAAATCAAATTTCTTTTATGTGCATGTGTAATCTGTAGTAAATTTATCATGCTTCTTAGTTATTTGCCTATCCAAGGCTTTGTGAGACAATAACCATCTGAATATATTCTGCAAAGTTCGTCTATTATTATGTTCACCTACCTTGAGGGAAGATAATTCAGCATGAACATTATTAGCATCAAGCCGAAATTTATCCTATTTAATCTTAAACCTTTTTTGTTTGCAGTAACTTCAGTGCGCTTAATTAAGCCATCAGTTAGAATCATTTAATATTCACAGATATAGAAGATTTGCAGTGATGTATTGTAGTGGATGTAGCATTAGTGGTATTTAATCCTTCAAGAGTTGCCTTCTTTCTTCTCCTGCTGAAAAATATTTTCGGTATAGTTCCCTTTCAATTTTTATCATAGCAAGATATCTTGATAGAAATTGTGATTTGCACACCTTCAATCAAATGTTTTTCGCCTTTATATCTCATTGAGTCTTCTTGCACAACTTTACTGTGCTTTGCTTTCCACCGATTCCAAAGTTTGAGGAGATTGGACTCTTTGACTAGTAGCAGACTAAAAGTGAAAACGGCTTACAGTTATTAGAAAAACACAAGAAAATTGACTTGCTGTGTTGGAGCCTCTTAGCTATGTTAGCATAATTTAACTCTTTGAAGTTCCTTATGTGGATTAATGATGGTGGTGCCTCTTGATTTGGGTGATTTTTTTTTTCTTCCATTGGGTGGTTTGCTGGCCTTTGGGCCTAATGTTATGAATTTTTACCTCAACAGGCTGAGAGTGCAATAGCTGCTCTCAACTGCAGTGGTGCAGTCTTGGGTTCACTTCCTATAAGGTTGCTATTCATCTCTCTCTCTCTCTCTCTCTCTCTCTCTCTCTCTCTCTCTCTCTCTCTCTCTCTCTCTCTCTCTCTCTCTCTCTCTCTCTCTCCCACACACACACACACTAACAAAGAATTGATCCTCTTACACTTGCATTTTTTTTCTTTTTTTTTTTTTCGGTTTACAGGGTAAGCCCATCAAAGACCCCAGTCCGACCCCGTGGACCCCGCCAATTCGTGCGTTAAAGCAGCTCGTTGAATCTCTGTCCTTCCCCCTCTCTCTCTCGTGCTCTTTCTCTCCCTCTCTCCCTCTCTCTCTCTCTCTCTCTACATATATTAATATTAATATATATAACATAGGAGCTGATACTTGGAGTTGTTTATGGTGTCTATGTTTCCGTTTTTATTTTCCCTTTCCTTCTTAGCGTATTCTGGTCTCGATGCTTCTGCCGTTTGGTTGATTGCCTGCCCATTAAAGCTTGTAGAGAGTTGTAAACATTTTCGAGGCTTAGGCCATAGATCAGCTTAATAAGTATTGTCAAAAGAGCTTTAGCAGGCACAAACCTTCATCTTTTACGGCTGTTTCATGCTTCTGAGTGAAGAAAACGAACTAAGCTCCCAATTGCTTGTGTTTTAACTCCTTATCAACCAAGGATTTCAAATCAGTTTTCTCTCTTTTCCTGCTAAAAAACTGTTGGTGATTAAAGGTTGATCATCAGGTTTTTGTTTTCTTTGTTTTTTTCAGTGATTTTTCTTGTTTGCTATGTTATGATTCATCATATCATATGAGCATGGTATTTTTAGGGGTGTACTGGTGAGGTTGACTCATAGAAATGGCCACCAAATGAAATAATATTAAAAAAAAAATGGACATTTCTAGGAAGCTACGTTCAGTGGCTGGGGTCGTCCGACACCGACGCTTTGCGTTGAACCACTTGTACGTAACAAAATTTCACCGTGTAAGACCCCATTAAAAAAATAATAAGACCCCGGCAGCAGGGGCGGATCTATATATGGGCGAGCCTGGGGTTTGTCCCGACCCCAGCAACCAAAATTTCTGGCTTCGCCCCTGACCCTCTTTGACAAGAAAAAAATTTGCAATTATATCATTATATGTCAACTGTGTGCAAATTCTATCTCAGTTATATTTTAAATTATCCATTTTTTCATTACTATTGAAATAAAATATTTTCAACAAAAGCAAAAGTTTCCAACTTTTAACTGGGTTGAGAAGATTGGGGGTTTCGCCATAATAATCAATTCATAGAGATTTATATAACGCTCAGATTAAATAGATTCTACCAAAAGTACTAAGAAAAATTAATTGAATTTTACTCCATCTGAGTGTTATGTCATTTAATATATGTACTTGTAGCATTTTTCGAGATCTTTTGCTAGTTGACATGCCTGTTCTGTTTTTTGTCTCAAGGGTCGTTGGTTGAATAGCAAATAATATTTTCAATGACATCAAGAACATTTTGGAGGTACTTCGTTAGAGTTGCCTTCTAAATATCTTAAAAGCTCAACTTGTTTAGAACTTGTTCAATTAACAACGCCCGTGCTATGCTCAACTCAATAAAGGATTTTTATATGTTAGTTATGCTTGATTTTAGCTCATTAATGTATTTTCTGTAGTTTAGCTAATTAATAGATAAGCAAGTCAAGCTCAATCTCGATTATTAACCCATTAAGGGCTCGAGTTTGCATGAGCTCGATGCAAACTCGAACTCGAGCTCGTTTACACACACCCCTAGGTCAAATGAACCTAACAAAAACGGAACATGTCAAAAACATATTTTAAAAAACACCAAATACACATTTACATTATTAGCACAACACCACCAACACAAATCACACATTACAAACATCAACACCATTCACAACAACAGAACTCACCACCAACACAAATCACACACTACAAACATCAACACCATTCACAACAACAGAACTCTACTTAATCTCCACATCAATCACCTTCTTCTCAACCTTACCCTTGGGTACGTACACATAAAGCACCCCATTATTCATCTCAGCCCTTACCTTATCCTTCAGGCAATCGTCCGGGAGCCTCAGCCTCGTCCCGTACGAGCTGTATGACTCTTCCTCCTCTTCACCTCCACATCGCTGGCTTTTTCGTTCGCCCTTTATGACGAGCACATCATCATCCTCAACCGAGACCCGAACGTCCTCCTTTGAAAGTCCCGGCATGTCTATGCGAATCTTGATTTCGTTCTCATCTTCAGTCACATCCCACGGGGCTCGTTTCTTGTTTGTCCTAGCTGGCGATGTCCCGGGAAGTATGGTTAAGTCTTCGAGCATTTGGTCCACGGTGTCGAGCATCTGGCGCACGGACAATATGGGAGATAGTGTGTCGAGCAAGTCTACAATCACAAGTAAATATTCATGAGATTGGAGACTATAAAAGTTTAAAAAAACAAAATAGTGAAGGAGAAAAAAAAAACACAATTTACATGCTTGTCTTAATAAACAAAAGAACCAAGGATAACTTCATGAATGTAGCTTTGTATTAGCTATAAGGCTAAAGTATTGGGGCTTTCGCGATGAGCTGTGAACAATATGTCAAGCAAGTCTACAATCACAAGTAAATATTCATGAATTTCATGACTATAAAAGTTTAAAAAAAAAATATTGTGAAGGAAAGAAGAACACATTTTACATGTTTGCCTTGATAAATAAGCAAAAGAACCAAAGACAACATCACAAATTTTTAGCTTTGTATAGCTATAAGGCTAAATTATTGGGGTTTTCGAGATAAGCCATGAGCAAAATCGAGCTGAACCTGAAAAATAAACCTGAATCACAAATTTTGCTTTCGGTGCTTGTATTGGTAAATTAGGAAAAGAAACAAAGCTACTTCACGAAATAAGCTTTGTATAGCTTTAAGGCTCAAGTATATGGGGTTTTTGAGATGAGGCGTGAGCAAAACCGAGCCAAAATTGAAAATTAAACATGAATCATACGAGCAGTTCAGTTTGGTTATTCTAGTACGATTCGATTATTTTGTCCCCCTAAATTTGGTTTAGGGTTGTTTCAGTTCAATACTATTTTGAACAGAAACGAACCAAAAAAAACGAGAGGGAATCGAAAATACAAGCTGAAATGAACCAACCGCGGAAAATCAAGAGAAAACCGAAAATCTGAGCTGAAACGAACCAAATTAAATAAAAATGCACAGAAAATCAAGAGAAACCCTAATACCTAGCGGACTCAATTCGGTTCCGTACGGTTAAAATGACCGTAGAAAACCTTCGATCCAGTTTCAGTTTGATATTTTCCTAAACTCGAAAGGTAAAGTTGAAACTTGTATACTCACCAAAAGGAGAGTCATCGAGCGCCAACCTCCGAAGCCGCCGACCAGCGGAGGGGCCCTGATTTTCTCCGCCGCTCTGACCTCCGCTGACGTGGTGGACGTCCACCGCAGAATCCTTGTTTTCGCCGGCGGCCTGAGCTCTGACAACAGGAAATGGCCTCCGACTTGATCCCAAGTTACCGGCGGAACGGAAAAAAACGGCGCAAGGCCCAACGGGAGCCCGATAGTTAGCTCCAACAACATTTTTGGGCGCGAAGGTATTGCAGACTAAGGTTTTAGCCGCCATTGATCAGTTGATTAAATGTATCAGTTTTTGTTTGCAGAAATTGGTTTGTGTAATCTGTGTTAGGGTTTATATATATATAAGTGAAGATACGAATGGAGGATAGTTCGTGAAAGTTTGAGATATTGAGAGAAACAAATAAGAGCTATCTATGATGTTCCTGGATTTTCGTTCACAGTCCATACATCTTGGGCCATTTTGACATTTTTCTGTATTACGGGCCAACATTGATTGGGCCTAGATAAGTATTACGGGCTGAACGAAATATCATCAGGCCCAGTGTATGGTCCAGTACATTTGTAAAATTACTCAGGTGGTGATTGTTTATAGTTTCAATAGTAAAAAAACTAGTTTTTTGGTTTATTTTTAACTATAGTTAATTTTGAAAAAATGTGGTGTGGTTAGTTGTTAGTGGATATAATAAAATAATATTTAAATAAAATAATTAAAGTTGATTTGATGTAAAGTAGGAGAAAAATCATTGGAAGTGATAGTTAGTTAGAATTATGTGAGTGGATGAATAGTGAATTAAAGTTGATGTGATGTGTAAGAATGATTGGTTGATATTATTTAATTATATTATTAATATTGAAGATATTGGGGTAGAGTTAAAATTGAGTTAAATTTGAATTTTGATTGGACTCTTTACTATTGAATTTATATACAATCACAACCCATTTTGTTATACAGCCTTCTTAAATTCGTCACGCATATGTGTAAATTTCTGCAGTTATATTTGTTGGGATAATGCAACCCTATCCACTGTAGGCACATGTTAATATGTCCACCGGTTATGTGACATGCACACATTGATGATGTTAATATGTTCAAAAAAATACATCACCAATGAGTGTATGCCATATAAACGGTGGGCACCGTGAGTAGGTGAGGATTACTAATATTTGTTCATGGTGTAAGATGCTGGAAGCAAAAAGTGATGTATTTTGTTTTGGGAACATTTTACTTGTTTTTTTTCAAAACGATAGATAATATTATAAATCAAAAGTGCACAAATGTGCGAATACAAACAGCCAACGGCTGAAAAGTGGGAGGACAGGTCAGAAGACCGCCTAGAATCCCGACTAGCAACGCTGGAAAAAAAAAACTCCAAACTAAACTAACCGACAACTCAAACAACTGAAACAACTAAAAACGACCCCAACAGGGTAATACCCGAGTGACGGATCCCAACAGGTTAATAAATTTGACACCCGGGCTCACAGAGGCCAAACGGCCCAAACCAAAAATACAAACCTAGACACAAGTACAAACACAAACACAGATACACAAACAACACATAACAACAACAACAACTAAAAAACTAAAAAACTAATAGCCCTCCCTTGGCAAACGAACAGTCCCCACCAGCAATGAACGAACGACACAAGGAGTCACAGCCCGAGAAACCACTACCGAAACTGCGCAACCGCCTATACAGTAGTCAAAACCGAGCCTCAAACCCTTCCCCGAGTCAACCCACCCCAACCGAGAGAAAAAAACGGCCAACCCCCAACAGCCTCTTCCGAATCCGTCTAACACCACTATTGAGATATATAGTTTGGGTCTACTAAATATTTTTTTTTTTTTAAATAGTCGATGAGCATGTACACTTCTATGTATATTTAGTATGTTTTTTTTTTTTTTTTTTTTTAATTTTATATATATTAATATAAAAATTGTAATATTATTATACACAAATAATAAATAAGTAAATAAGATTACATTAGAGAAGAATCATGTTTAAATTAATGGAAATTTTAGGTGCAATTTAAATAGACAGCATAAATAGTGTAGTGATTTCCTTTGGGGTGGTAGCTTTCAAATCAGAAAACTAATCAAATAAAATTCAGAAGTGGTCCATATTGGGTATTATTTCACTTGTCCCTTCTTTGTTCTATCTACCTAATTTATTTATTAGATAATTCCAATTAATTCATCAACTTGTATTTATATTAGATTTTACAAATCCGACGGAATAGTTTCATAATAAAATTTTAGCACTTCTCTATATTTTAAATGGCGGTAGCCATTTGGACGCGTATACATTATCATTACAAATAAAATTTCAATATTATATCCTTCGTATTATAAAATTTCAATATTATCCACAGTATGATCCTTTTAAAGATGTGTGCAAAGCATAGTCTAATATTATCCGTACAAATAAAAAAAATAATATTATCCCCGATATGATCGGGGTGTCTCATCCCCGACGAGTTCTAGCTTAATTATCCTTTAGGTCTTTGGCCTCCCTTTTTTATACCAAAAAAAAAAAAAAAATATCCGTACAAATAAAATTTCAATATTATCTTTCGATATTATCCTTAGTATGATCCTTTTAAATACGTGTGCATAACATAGGTTTGTATTATGAGAAATTAGTTTAAAGGCAACCAGTAATTTTTAATTAGATGTTATTTTTCACATAGTAAATAGTGAGAGTTTGTTAATAATATGGGATCCAAATTAACTAGAAGCTTATAAAAGCTTATGGAATATTTTGCTTTAAGTTAGGTAGACAATTTTAATTTTTTTTTTAATATATCAATATTATTATAATTGAAATTAAAATATTTTTTCTACTAGGATGGACAATAACCATGTTTTTTTCTATTAATAATTGAACTATTTAAATGATTTATGTTATTTTATTTTATTAGAGACCATTTTACCAAAAGATGTAATTATTTGCATGACAGTACAAAATCGGTCTTGTTTGGCTATTAGTCGACAGTGGTTAATGGATAAATGATTGTACGAACGTATAACCAGGGGCGGACCGACACTTAGTCCAGTTTGGGCAACTGCCCAGGCTGGATTTTTGCTGCTAAATATGTGTAGTTATGATTTTTAAATAAATATTTATATAGAAAAAGCAGAGTTGGAGAACTTGCGAGACATTATACAAATAATTTTAATTTTTCTGTAATAGTCTATATAAAATGAAGTCGAACATTTTCTCTTCTATAATTAAATTTATGGAAATGATAATCGAGGATGCATGAGGCTATTGTTAATCAAAGAGGACAATGTAATTTGTTGCTTGTGCATGTATAATCATTTGATTTCATGTTTTGTCTTCTTCTAATGGAAAAATTTTTAGACTTAACGAATGAGTTATCACTAGAATTATAAAGAGATGATCAATATATTGTTAACGCTGTAGATTTGGTCGGGGCAAGTAAGGCCGTGCTTGTTTAAAA